AGTAAGTAAGTAAGTAAGTAAGTGTCTGTGCGTGTATGTAAAGGTACCTAGCTTCAGCAGATGTGTAGACATTTTATACATGGTCTGCTCCACCTCACGGGGGGCGGTCGCAAAGAGAGTCGGTCGCTGCGAACCAACCATGGCCTCACGTGGATTCGACGCCTACGGAGGAAAAGGACTGAGACGCAGCGCCACTTTAGGTGCGGCAAGATGACAGTCTTCCGGAAAGCATCTCCAGTTGGCGTGCAGCCATTCAGCACGAAGTTGCGTCCGCACTGGTCCACGAGGAACCAGATTCCCAGCGACATTAGAAGCCTCAACCTCGGAGACCGAGAGTTCAACCCAAAGATGGCATCGAAACCCACTCCCGACTCCGAGGGGCAGCTTTCGACGAGTGGATGACAGCACCTTACGCAACATCAGAGTTTAGGGTTTAGGGTTAAGGGAAATAAACTCCAAGACAGCAAGAACTGCTGAGTTGCTAAGGGCCACACGCTGGGAATCATGGCCGCTTACTACACAAAGTGACCTTCCCTCCTTGCAACTTTGTTTCCCTGCAACCCAAACGGCTGCGAGACTGCGGGCTACGGGTTGGGTGAGAACAGCTGTAGCATCAGAACAGTTGTCCATCATTTCCGGCTGCCTTGGTGATTTGCACGATTGGAACCACAAGACCGCAGATCCCAGGTTACCCGTGCAAATCGGAGACGAGCCTTGACTCGGATGTACATGGCTTTGGCGGCTTTAGCACATTGGCAACCACGGCTACGTCAGCACTTGGCAATCAGAGCAGCCGCGAACAAGGAAGATGCGCCGAGCTGAGCTACTGTAGTAAAGTCAGATACTGTTGACTGGTGCGGATCTCACAAATCCTACGACCGGGTAGGCTGCTAAGTGTGAAGTGCTGGTTGGGCCACAGCATGCTGTCCATCAGACAAAATGCAGACGACGTCAGAGGCAGCATCGTTGTGAACAATATATGACTTCCAAACATCTGCATCGAGCAGTTGCAATCATGAAAAAAAGGAGTTTGGAGGTCTGCCAAGACATGCAGTTGAGAAGTCCGGAATCGTCAACGATCGGTCGACTGATACACGCCTTTTCATGACGGCTCCTGTCGTCGAAGCATTCCCGCAATCCCTACGCCCTATAAACCCTAAACCCCCCAAAACCCTAAATGTCGTGGCGGCTTTTGCCATCATCCTCACAAGCTTTGGTCCCTAGTTTCTTCTGTATGCCGCTCTATCTTGCGAGCATGCTTGTCGTTGCATTTTTCAACAACATCAGACAATTTTATTGAAAATCAACAAAGACATGAATTGTGTGATTTCTCCTCGGACGACCTCGATGTTGTTCTGTCTTGGCATCATGAGCTCGAAGCAATGCGATCTTTGGTTTCTTCCCGTCCTGCCCAAGACGTCCTGAAATTTCGAAGACAATCATGTTCTTGAGTCGATGGAGAATTTATAACGCACCTTCACATCAAACAACTCTCAAAGCATCGCATCATTGCTCTAGTTCGTCTCTTATAGATAGAAAGGTTCCGCCTCAGCAAGGCTTTTCTCTGAAAGAGAGGCTGCCAAGGGGCATGTCGAGAAAGCAGCTCTCTCAATCTCCGAACTACACCTACCCCCCCCCTACCCCCGGCTCGAGCTCACCGTGGCCGGCTAACTCAGAGCGCCTGCACAGCATGAGGGCCGGCTCCAAGTCCGACTGCCTCCAGGATGACCTTCGGAAGAAGGTAAAGCCCGCAGGGCAGCAAGAAGCTCCAAAAGGACACCAGAGCCACCATGATGGGGATGACAGGCATCCACAAGGCAAAGAAGAAGACCGAGAACACCAGGAAGTACTGAAAGGTCAGGATGGCTATCGCCTTCCCCACCCAGCACCTCAGAAAATCTCCGACACCCTCATCTGCAACTTGCAAGAGTCCTGTGCCAAGCGCATGCTGCTCCAGCTTTCCAAGCAGCGCCGTGAGCTTTTCAACTTGAGCTTCAGCTGTTGGCAGCAATTTGGCCAACAAGCCTTTGCCGCAAGCCAGAGACCGAGGGTCCTCACATGCGGGCACCGCTGCCATTGTCGCAGCAACTGTCTCCATGGTGGATGCAACTTCCTTCGTTGGCATCTTGGGGAAGGTCCGGACCATCAGGGCTGGCGCGTCGGTCATCTGGAAACTCTCATTCTGCATGATCTCAAACATGGCACCTGAGATTGCAGAACTGGCATGAACTGGCATGGATGTATTTTTTTGAAAGCAGCAGGAAGCAATCGAAGATGCATGTCTCTCAAACGTGTCTGCTCTGTCCGAGGTGCTGAAGTTCACTGCTTGTCCTCCTTGTTCCTCCAAAGCTGCCGTAACTTTGGAAACGGACTCCAGAAACTCGCTGGTGGATGAGTTCATCGCGGCAGCAAGCAGTGGCACTTCAGTTGGGCTGACCTCCTGGAAGGCCTTGCTGTAAGGGATCATACGCTGAAGACTGGGGATAAACCTCACCAAATCGCTGAGACGATGGTCAGCATGGTATGCAGCCGCCGTGGCAACCAACGAGGATTTGCTACTCTCGAACTCCAACACCAAGTCCTCATCGTACTTCAGGTCGCAGTAACCCTCGTAGTCCTGTTCACACACTGCTGCGGGCTACCAGCCTGACAAGAAGGTCTTCTTGCACAGCTTCCCTGAAACCTCGTGCTCCAAGTGTTCCACCACTTCCTTGGCCCTGCGAGCAGTCACCAATCAGCCCAGATGAAAGAGCATCAGAGGAAGCCACATGGCTCAATAGAATAATCAAACTGTCGTCGGGCTGAAGCTTTCAACTGGCTTGAGTCTCGGCATAAACACGACACATACATGGAAGGATCGCGAGATATTCACATTTTTGGAGAAGACATGTCAGTGCTGGGGCAGATGACAATTTTTCAGAATGATTGAAATGAGTCGGAGCGCATCTGCAGCTTGCCCTGCTCAGATCTGCTCTTCGTAAAGGCCAGGATGAGGAGGGCGATCGCCTGCCATGGAAGCTCGTATGGAATTCGCATGCAATCTTAAATTGGAATATGTTGCATTAGATTCTGTTCTGTTATAATATGCTATACTATGCTCTATTCTATTCTGCTCTGTTCTGCGCGCCTCCAGCAGAACCCAACATCGAGGAGACATGCCAAGGCGCAATTTTCATAGCCTAGTGGCGATTGATGGTGTTCCCTCAATATATGCAATGAAAGTATATGATAACACGTGATGGTACATGATAACGTATGATCATCTACTGCTTTCAGTTGTTTTTGCCATGCTGATCAGTGATTCCTACATGCCAAGCGACCGAGGTAGGCAGCTTAAACTTGTGGTACTGCATTCCTACTGGAGCCATTCCCGCAGTTTGCGCGGCGGGCTCGGATCTTGAACCAGCCACCCAGCGGCACCACACAACGATCCAGGATCCATGCCTACCAGCCTCCAACTATGCAAGTGGCATCAAGACAGGGCAGTGTTCGCACGGACGTTCATGATCTCGCGTATACTTGTACTCACAGTCAGCATCCCAAGATAGGACATTGCAATCCGTCGGAGTATACATTAGTAGAAATCTAACCTTGCTTTTGACCCGGGAAAATTTCGGGGTCAAACTCTAGTTCTGGTTTGGGGTTTAGGGTTTCTGGGTGAGGATAGGGCTTGGGGTTGCCATTTAAAGGCGTGGGGCTTTGGTTACAAGGAGGGTTTCGGGGTTCAGTATCACTGAACCCGTCTTGGGATCGGAGTGTCCTCAAACCCTAACCGAGAATTGGCGTTCAAATCGCCTCACCCTCAACCCCCCCCCCCCGCATGGTGTGGGCGTGTTCTCGAGCCTTGCCTGCAGCAAAGTCTTGGTGTAAGGTCCAGGGATTCAACGGTTGAAATCAAATCTTGGGACTAGGGATTTGGTTTTGGGATTTTGGCTGCTGTCACTGGGGGCCATCTCATTCTTCCGGTTTCGCCATCAGGGTTGTGGACACTTAAGGTTGAGATTCAGCTTCGAGGTTCAAGTCTTTCTGGCTACACCCATACCGAGTGCAACTGCTTTTGGGCTCAAAAGAAAATTGGGGCTTCCAAAACCCTTAAAACCCTAAACCCCCCAAAAATGAACTCCCCAAAACCCCAATTTAGGGCTTAATCTATATTGCTCCTTTACAGGATCTATAGGGTTTCTTTTCTAGGGCTTCAGGAGCTTACTGCAATCACTTCAAAAGCGGCACTTGGTTGAGGCAGCATCTCGGCCTCAAAGAGCACTCAACACGTTAGGCAGCAAAAGCAGGGTTTGGAGTTTAGGGTTTAGAGTTGAAGGTTTAGGGTTTAGGGTTCAGGATATGATCACGGCCATTTGGCTGGCAACTTCGCTCCAACATACGCATGGTGCCTACGCGTGTTGCCGGTGTCTGGTGCACCGCCTACTGGCGCTCAACCATGCCAGCACCTCTGTACAAGAGAATTTGAAAAGCTAGTCCTGCAGGAGCTTTCCCCAGTGCAGGACCCCAAGGACCTGCAAGGCTATCTGCTGGGCCGGGAGCCTGGCAGATGTTTGCAGGACTCCCCGGCCCTGCCCTCGGAGCCGCCCATGGTCGGGCAGCCCAGAAAGCAGGCGTGGAGACAGCGGCGACTGCGGAATTTCATGAATGCCTCTGCCATTCAAAATTCCGTCGAGCTGTACAGCCCGCTGTGACAAAATTGCATGAGAATCGCCAGATACCTGCAGCTGTTTAACAGCTACACCTAGTAACCGGAGATTGTTCACCTGGCGGTTGACCGTCCCAGGTGCCTTCACACCTTCCCGGCACAAACTTCGGAACTTCAGGTTACCAGGAGGCTTGCCTCGGTCACTTCTGTGCCTGGATCTGCAGCTTGTAATACACTCCTTTGGAGGCCATCAATTCTGCATGACTTCCCATCTCCACCACACGGCCGTCGGCATTCACGAGAATCACGTCACAGCCTTGGATGGTCGAGAGTCGGTGGGCAATGGCGAAGGAGGTGCGCCCTTCGCTGGCAGCTTCCAGGGCCTTCTGCACGATTGCCTCGCTCTGGGTGTCTAGTGCACTGGTGGCCTCATCTAGTAGCATGACTGGCGGGTTGCGGATCAAGGCCCGGCAAATCGCCACACGCTGCTTCTGGCCCCCCGACAGGCGGCTGCCTCTGGGGCCAACCTCCGTCTCCAAGCCCTTGTTGCCGCCCTTGTGCAGGAAAGCAAGGTTGGAAATCCTTTCGCATTGGCAAAGGTGCTCGTCACTGACCGTCTCGTCGTCATCGAGGCCATACATGATGTTCGCACGCACCGTCGTGTTGAAGAGGATAGGCTCCTGGCCTACGAAGCCAACCTGTCGCCTCCACCAACGGATGTTCACTGTGTTCAGAGGCACGCGGTCCGCCCCGATGAGGACCTGAACCAGGGTCCCCTAACCCTCGCATCACCCCAACACCCTAAAAACCCTAAACCCTAAACCCCTTGGACCTAAGCCCGGTTTTCGTTCCGGGCCTGGCCCTCCTGGGGATCATAGAAGCGTTGGATCAAGGACATCACCTGAGTCATCTGGGGAACTTCAGAAGCAAAGTTTTGCCAGAACACAGAGAGAGAGAGAGAGATAGATAGATATATATATATATACAAAAGCAGTTATAGGAATCTGTCTTTACCACGGTGGCTTGAAACCGATTCCTTCACAAGAGCCCGGTCACCGTGCTCTTGCCTCCCCCGGAAGGGCCCACTAAGCCGACGGACTGTCCGGCGGCGATGCTGAAACTGGTACCTGGGCTATGGGGCTTTGAGTTGCGGATTTTGGGCTTAGGGTTAAATCTGGGGTGAGTTGTGCAGGGTTTTGGGCTTTGGGCTTTCAGTTCTTGCACTGGGCTGCCAAAGCTAAGAGCGCGAGCTCCCCCTCAAGAACAGCCAAGACACCTTTGAGCACCAAGACCTCCGGGCGGAAGGGGTAGAAGAACTTCACATCGCGGAACTCAATCCGACCGGCCTCGAGTTGCTTCGGGGTGTCGCCGGTAGGCTCGAGGCCATTGATGGCCGAGATGCGGTCCATAAGCTGAAACATGTCATGGCATGCAACCTTGGCCTTCGATGCATCTCCCACCATCACCGCAGCCTGGCCAGCCCCCATGCCTGCGTAGAAGATGCCCATGAAGGCCATCATCACCCCCTCGAAGTCTGCCACATTCTCCTTGATTAGAAAGGAAGCGATGTAGAAGCCACCGGCCATGATGAAGAAGAATATCCCATTGGAAATGCCGAAGCCCATGCCAGCCAGGATATTTCGCCTCCACATGCCGACCATGGACTTTTCCACCCAACTCACATACATACTGACCAGGCCTTTCTCAACACACAATGCCTGTACCGTGCGAGCGTTCATGACGGAGTCTACCACGATTTGGTTGGCATTGGTGATGTTGACGTTCTCGTTTTTCGAAGCGCCGAGTACCACTAGGTACTGAAGCGCGGTTGCTGCGACCATGATTGGTATGGAGCCCAGCATCACAAGGGACATCTGCCAGCAGTAGACGAAGGCAATCACAAGACCAACGACCAACGAACTCATCGCTGCTGCCTGGCACTTCTTACCCCATCCATTGCGACCCACTACTCCTGTTTCGCCCCCTACTCCTGCTCCTATCCCCCTCTCCTACGACTAGAGATTCAGGGCGTAGGGATTGCTGCCTTGGCTTGCACGGACTTGCACAGCGTCGTCACTCGAAAGGCCCAGAGTTCCAAAGCCTTGGAGAGCATCCCAGGGGTGTTCGTCGGGTCGTCATGGAAGCCCACCTGGTATCAAGAGATCAGGGTCCTTTCATAGAAACTCCGACTTAGCTCTAGCACACATCCCCTACCAAATTCTGGGCTGTGCGGCTTCTGGGAAGTATGGATAGACAGTTAGGCAGACAGATAGTCCCACACACAAACACCAGTGTAAGCCTGGATGTAAGCCACAATGTGGCCAGGTGCCTGCAACACGATTACTTTCGTATGATGGTGGAATTCTTTCGTAGTCCCATGTGGAAAAATGTCACATAAGCACAGACGAAAAACACAGATACACAGACATACACACATACTCACACGCACGCACACGTTCTCCAGGTTTATACATGCTACGCATACAAGCAGGAGAGCAAGCAGGAGCGGACCGATGCTATCACTTCAAACTTACGAAAATAACCCTGACTACAAAATACAAACGCACCGCGAACGTATACACACACGCACACCCACATGCACACGCACACAGACGCACATGGAGATTTGCGGTCACAGCCGGTTTACGGTATTCACTTTGTTTCTTGTCCTTTTCCGGCTCTTTGTGGTCTTCTTAGCATCAACTCGACTAGAACTAGCACATTACGAATTCTGAGAAGAGCTTACGGCTATTGACTATCTATATCTATATATGCATATATATATATCTCTCTCTCTCTCTCTCTCTCTACCAGGTGAGGAGCACAGGGCGGTCCTAGCCTGCACTCCGCGCGCGCACCCGCATATATCTATATATATATATATGTATATCCACATATATATATATCCCTCTCTCTCTCTCTCTATCTCTCTCTCTCTCTCTCTCTCTCTCTCTCTGTCGGCGGTGAGACTTTCTGCAGGTACAGCGCTATGCATCCATAGCTCTTTTCACCTAGTCAGTGGCTGGCATCACGGAATAGGCTGCCAGCGCCTGCATTCTCAATCTGCTTCGATATCATATTCTTGAAGTTGACAGTTCATTCAGTGCGAAGCATCCGACTCAATGGCTCTAGGAACAGGAGTTCCACACACACACACACACTCACACAGACCTACACACACACATGTATATATATATATATATCTATATATATACACATATACGTATATACATATGTATATACATGTATACATGTGCACATATGTATGTATGTATGTATGTATGTATGTACGTACGTACGTACGTATGTATGTATGTATGTATGTATGTGTGCAAAAATGTGTGTATATACATATATATATATATGTATACAGATACACACACACACACGCATACTTACACTCTGTATACTGCTAGCTACCTCAGTACATACCTGTAAAACATGTATCTATCTACTGTCTAAGTACGCTTCTGCTGTCCCATCGATCCGATTTAGGCATCCATCCATGCATCCGTGCATCCATCTATCTGTCTATCCAATCTATCTCTCTATCGTATTGTCTGTCTGTCCACCTATCTGATCTGACCTTCAACCAGCTCACGGATGAAAATGATCCGTCAGTATGCGTAGATACACACACAAACACATACATACAGAGAGAGAGGTGTATATATATATATACATACACATAAGCAATGTATAGACATGACACATACACATAGGCACATATACTTATTGTTTGTACATGTGTGTACATAATACACAAAAAACATATGTATATATGTATATATCCAGCGGCTATGCAAGCTTCAGACCAATTCCGGAAACCCGCGAACCCTGAATCCGATCCCTGAAGCCCAAATGACGAGCCCAAACCGCACCTCTTGACGGAACAAGCCCCTGAGGAGTGCGACCCGAAGACGCTGCGTCATCGCCTCCGAGAGCAGAACCAGGTAGGGCTTTGGGTTTGGGGTGTACGAGTCAGTGTTTAGGGTTTAGGGTTTAGGGGTTTAGGGGTTTAGTGGTTTAGGGGTTTAGGGATTTAGGGGTTTAGGGGTTTAGGGTTTGGGTTCAGGGGGGCCCCTTCTCTCGTCCGCAGCAAGTAAGCCACAGCATCTTAGAAGGGTTTGGGGGTTTGGGTTAAGGGTTCCGGGAGTGCTTTTGGGGGCTCTGTTTCCGGGGGAACAAGATTTAGGATTTTGAGTCTTGGTGTTGAGGGTTAGATTTACTGCGCAGGCTCTGCGAGCAGCGCTAGGATTGTGAACCGCATGACCGTCGTTAGTGCCCTTAAGGATGTCGCCTTTTCTTATAGCGACTATGCCATGTTCATTGTCACGCTTGCTGCGTCTATTCTAAGTCTGACAGGCTATACTTACTACAGCATTCATGTCAATGTTCAACTTCACTCTGGCAAAACTTGCCACCATGTCTCCCTCTCGTAGGTCACTACTGCCACTGCTTGCATTATGTCGGCTGCCGTGCTAATGTGCTACTAAGTTCTGATGACATCAGGGTGCTGCCACACGAGCATGACAATCTATAAGTCCAAGGCGGCCAAGGGGCTAGTGGCTAGTGGCTAGTGGCCTGACTTGTGCTGATCCCCGGATATTGCAATACCATGACTTGTTGGATTTTGTGGCCAACATAACAAATATTTCGCTGATGACCTTTGCTAACACTACTCTGGTCCTTTTTGCGATGGCAGCAATGCTGCTATGCATACTCCTGTCCGCACTGGTGCAAATAGTGCTGATTTCAAAGGTAGGAATATCAGTATCGTGACTGCCTCGCGTAGGTAGCAATGATTGGCTGGCAGCAACGACACAAAGGCTTCCGGTAGCGCTGATTCTGAGAATGATGATAATTACTGGCAATATTCAGAGTGCCAGTACATGCCAATATGCATAATCCGTAGTGCGAGTGATACAAAGCGTGGGAAGGGCACGAAAAAGCAATGGGGTGAATAGCAACGGTGCCACAGCAACAGCAATTTCCTACAACGCTCTCATAAGGCTCGTACAGCCTTAGCTGAGACAGGGCAACGATGCTAACACCGTCTGTTCTAGAGATAGCTGTGGTGATACAAGTAGCAGTTGTCGTCGTCCAATAGCAGTAGCGGCAGTAGTCGTCGTCGTCGTCATCGCTGCAGCAGTAGCAGTAGCAGTGCCAGTAGAAGTAGTAGTAGTAGTAGTAGTCGTAGTATCGTAGTATCGTAGTATCGTAGTAGTAGTAGTAGTAGTAGTAGTAGTCATGGTAGAAGTAGTAGTAGTCGTAGTAGCAGTAGTAGTAGTAGTAGTAGTAGTAGGGTGTCCCCCCCGGTGCGACGCCCAGACCTCTTATTTTTTGGCTTTTGTGTTGTCGGAAATGCTGGTATTTACAGCA